AAACAATACGTCCTTTTCCAACATGTCATCATAACATTATACCTACAATGAACATCAGCTTGATCGATAGGGTGTTTCGCAATTTATTCCAGTGTTATTTTAAACTTTACCCGTTAGCAACGTTTTTTTATATAGTTATGGGTTTTTTTTTATCACGAAACAATCGGTAGCTCTATCCAAACCTTCATGATATGTGGCAAACGTATTCTCCGAAACCGGATAGTAACCGAACTTACTTAATGACGTAGGGTGAGCAGCTTAACTGGAGATATGTCTGTGTGCCTTTAGTGGGTGTACCGAGCTGTTAGCCATGTACTCACGTTTTCACTTTTTCAATTAAGCAAATGTAACTGTTACACGCTCTTTCATAATTTTGATAATATCATCAGTAATCAATCAGTTCATTGGGTTATCTCTGCTGCTATTATCAGGTTGTACCGCACTTATAATCGTGTCGAATCCTACGTCGTACCTGAAATCTTATTTAAAGCTCGAACACTCGTCCTTCAAAACACCTTGCTACCCCAAAAATAGACATTTATGGTTGCCCTCGCACCATGCGACCCTCAAACCGACCTGTAACGCACAAGGACAGGTCCTATCCGGGGCGGCCTACCAGCCCCTCTAAATATAGACGGTCTAAAAATAGCTTCTACCTTCCCCTCCCTCACCCCGTGCCGCTCGCCTTACCCCACCGACCTCATCATGGCCTTCGTTCCCTCATCCCCGCCCGACCTACATTAAGAAGCTTCAGAGGTCACTGAAATACTGCAGAAATTTAGGATTTTGTGTAGATATTTTGTGTAAATCAAAAAACAAATTCCATTTGTTTACTATATTTCAAATTACAATTTATAGTCTTTTAAATAAATAAGACTCGCAGTCACATTAAGTCTAGTCTAAGAATAATTTGTAATATTGAATCAGTCTATGTATGTATGCCTGAGGATTCAAAGATGAAAATTTCAAATCTCGACCCATTTGGTGCGAATCTGCAGATCACTAGTGGTGATTAGTTAGTGCAGTTCATGGTGATGTATAAGAGAGGTATCGGGTTCGAGTCAGCTATTTCATCTTAAATTTCCAACTACAATGCCAGAATGCTTTGCGGCATAAATAAGCGGGATGGTAGTAAATACCTCAGTGAGCTTACAATAAAAACTATCGCTTTTAATAAATAACACACACGAGAAGAAATTAAAACTACTTGTACATTCAAGGATAATATCACGAGGACTGTAAAGAGATAATTAGGTAATTAACAAATAACAAAATAATTAGAATAAACGCGGGATTATATAGTAAAATATTTAATTATATTAAAGTTTTAATTAACGTATCTTAGAAATGTATTTATATAATCTTAATTATGTCTACGACTTGCCAAAACCGAAAAAAATCTAGACATATAAAATTTATAACTTATATTAAAAATAAGTAGCTATCGAAGTACTATTGCATCATTTGTTCAGGGACGTATGGTAAAAATATGAATATAAATGAGATACAAGAAAACAGCAGTTATGATTTATCGCATTATGTGAATAAAATTATTTCGTAACAAACCAAAAATATTATAAATCGAATCACAGGTTAACAAATATGATAAATACCTGTATATATCGGTCTAGTATAACTGCGTCGAAGAGCCCAATTGGGGAGTGTTTGTTCGAGATGATGTCGTCATCTTTTATAAAAACAGCACTACCGGCATCGGAACATTAGGGCTTATAAAACATTTTCAGAGGTCTTTTTTCCGTATCCTGTTCGGCACTGGAACTAACTCCTCTCCNGAATCACAGGTTAACAAATATGATAAATACCTGTATATATCGGTCTAGTATAACTGCGTCGAAGAGCCCAATTGGGGAGTGTTTGTTCGAGATGATGTCGTCATCTTTTATAAAAACAGCACTACCGGCATCGGAACATTAGGGCTTATAAAACATTTTCAGAGGTCTTTTTTCCGTATCCTGTTCGGCACTGGAACTAACTCCTCTCCACATGCTTCCTGAACATTTTAAAATTTCCTTCAAACGAGGCTTAAAGGAATCCTGAGAGATCCACCACGAGATGGGCTATATGCTCGCCGTCTATCCTCGAATGCAACAAAAATGAAATAAACCAATTCGGCTCAAAGAGTAAATTAGATGAGCCTTCGGCTTCGTGTATTCAGTTGATAGTCACGTTTTCACAGGTCACTGGGTCATTATATTAAGTCCGCTTCTGAAAATACGCCCCTTTATAAATGTTTAAAGTGACCACTTAGAAGTATAACATACGTGTCATTCGTTAAATTTTTCGAGCTCCAAATCAATATGATATCTTCAGGACATGAAAGTGCAGATAGTGTGGTGCGCGGACACCATTGTTTATGAAACTCGCTGTTCAACCACTTCGATAAAGCGGCACGACACGAGAATCCTCTCATCGTGGCCGCCGGTAACTACATTCCCGATCCTGCGGACAGAATGGAAAGCAGTCGACGTCGCCCAAAACAACACGTCATTTTGAATCCTCCCGATCCACTAACGGTGCTTTTAGGTACCTCAAGCACCGGTTATCGTTCTTGTCGAGCCCGGTAGATTTTGCAAAGCACGGCTCTTGCTAGGTTTCGTGTTAGCAACGTCGTCAGGTTTGAGCCCCGGGAGCTCACCTACTAGTTAAGATTGCGCTGAAATTGCCTCTCAAGGCTATCAGCTTAGATGAAAAAAAAGAGCTGTTCAAAATCTCGTGTGTAACCGCGTTTGATTTCTTGGTTCTTGAGACTCGGCTCGGCTGATTCGTTCAATCGCGAACAACAGAATTTATCCAGTTGGATGCGGTCTCTAATATCTAGATCAAAGTTCGCACCTTTGTTATTCTCTCGGTTTCGTCAGTTTGCGTCTGATACTGCACCGACTGTAGTGCGAATTTTATTTCTCCACATACGTAAACTATGAAATACGGGTTTTTTTTATAAATAGGCGGCCTATCTTTCGCGAATTGACTAGAGTAAAGAGGTTACTGTTTTTTTTACCTTCGGACAATGGTAGAACTCTCAATCACAGTAGATTCACGTTGCAACGGCTGTCTCCGTAGGATATGTAAATGTGTGTGCTTCTTTAACATGGATACGTACTAACGGCTAGTGTTCTGTTAATATACAGTTTACTGTACCTTCATTTGTTCCCACATCTGAACTACTCTTCAACGACACGTCACTCGATGCGTCTGAACACTCGGAATCTCATTTGGGTGCTCTTTTTTAATGAACCCAATTTCACGCATTATACCAACAATAAGGACATTTAAATTGTGGATGGGCGTATAAATACCACCGACTTACTTACGTTTTACCCCGCAATAATAATAATAATAATTGGACAAATAAAATATACTGTTGTTTTATAGCTGCAGTTTAGGTCGTCAACAATGAACACAGTTGATATTATATATTATCGAGTGTGCCCCGCGTGCTCTAGATTCAGCGCCTGTGACCCAAATACCCTAATTATTAGAGGCAGCTGCATTATAGATTTATCGGTATCCGACGATATTGCGCTCTATGAGCAATTAAACAATATTGTTAGCTATTCATTTGTCGAAGAGGATAATACAGTTACTGGAATTACAATTTTTATATTTTTTCATGTCATTTACAACGAAAATGATAGCAAACTACGGACCGACTTCTGCATTGACAACTGTTGTTACTTATTCTGCGAGCGCTTCATTTACCATAAAGATAATAATTTTCAATCTTTTAAAATCATAAGCGATTTTTAATGGGTCGAGAGGAAATCGCTGTCTGTACGCGGCTCCTAACCTTGCTCGTGGTGTGGGGATCGGCAATTTTACTGGTCGTAGTCTGGTGAGCCCGTAAGGGTAGGCACCACTGTAGCCTGTATGTCGGGCAAAGATATCATGCATACCATTCAAAGGGTGGCGCAGTTTTTAAACAACTGAGACTCTGATCCTATTTTTCAAGACTGGTGTCGGGATTTACGTCATGATATCCATGGGCTCCGTTTATAACTTAACATTAGGTGGGCGGTGAACTCGTGCGCGGGATTACTGTAATAAATAATTAAGTCGAGGTAAAGTTGAGAGAAATCCAGAGGTTTAATTGAGAACATTTACTTTGCGCAAGAACACTTTATTGATGTTTTTAATACTGAATACAAAAATTATTACGACTTCATCACCGAAGAGCCAATTTTACCAAGAGAGGAAGTAGCCAGTGTTTCCCGCAATTCAAAAATATAAATTTACCAAGTATTCTACATTGCCAGTGTTTTAACAATAGTGCAATCTGAAACCCTGCAGTGCTTGTGTCCCAAGTGCCTAGATCAAGAATGATCAAGAGCGCGTATTGTGAGTTGTCACGATGTTGTCTAAGCAATACCTTTGGACGACTTATGTATTTGGGCTAAACGTAGCCCTAGGCTAAGGATGTGTCTGACGAACCAACAAAGTTAATGGACCCCCAGTAGTCGTTGAAATTATAAGTTTGAATATTATTGTGGTTCTATTGTCAAAGACTATTTATTATACTTCTGCATATAATCACAGATTTCGCCAATACCACATTATAGAAAAATAATATTAAAGAGAAATAATATTAATCTACATATTCTCAATTTGACCGCAGACTTTAAACAATAACAAAAGTTTGACAATAAACAAACAGTTTATATATGTGTGTTATGTCAAATATATCGTAGTGTGTTTAATATTTTTATTTACTGGTTTAATGTATTTTTTATGCAAATAAATTTAAAAAAAAATTAACATTCTGCACTCCTCTATATTCTCTATAAGCTTGGGAAACTACATACTCCTCCGCCCGCGTAATTTTCATAAAAAAGAGTACAAAATTTTTGGTTCACGTATTAATAAATAGATATCTAAACGAATTTAACAAAATAACGTCCTCGCCCTCAAACGAACTGTAAACGTGGCGCCATTAAACGCTTCGTTAAAAATATAATTAAACTGTAATTAATTATTGGTTCCAGCTGAAATGGCCCACGAGGGCCCAGCAAGGACGGAGGGCTCGCCCCACCACACGCCCTCGCCGCCCCACCTCCCTCACCTCCCAGTCACCGACTCCGGCTTCCATCATCAGATAATGCAGGTGAGGGTCTCGAAAAATAACAGGCGCCATCATCAGCTTCTTCGTTCGTGTACCGCCGGTCGGATGTGGTGACGAGCTATTGACGGATCTGTATTAATGTTATTATTTATAGTAGATCAGCCCATTTGCTTCGCGAGTCTCTTGTATGGAGACTTGTCGACTTGTATGTAATTGGTATAAAATGTGAATCGGTGTACGAGAAGTCTCGAATAGTAAATAACTTTACCAGTAGCTCTAATATAGTTTCACCAATAAGAAGAATCGGCAGGAAACTAAAGGCTTTCTAGATATTCGTATATCTATCTATATAAAAATGTCCACGTTCCAACAAATTAACAAGAAATCCTAGAACAACACATAAAATGGCCAGGCTTGCACTGCACTACGAAACAGCAAATATTGTTTATCTAAATAGCATCTAAATTAGTTGTGAAATGACATGGCAATTAATATAGAGATGGTTATGAGAAAGTGATGTACGCAATATATATGGTTGTCCCTCTCGCACTCCGACACTGATGACGTCATGAATTATTACGTGAATCCTCTTTGTTATGTGATAATTACCTCAAAACCAGATTGAATTTTCAGATTGGCTTTTGTCACGAATTCATAATGATTATTTAGGTAACGTGCAGTGTGTTTACTAGTGCTCACGGTTAGCATTCTGTTGGCAGTGAATGGCCATTATTAGATACAAACGTACCAATTGGCTACGAGCTGCCTGCTCGTTTTGCCGATAATAATAACATGCTAATAATAAACATGGCAGTCGTTAAATTTATAATTTTCACACAATTAAAAAGCTATAAAACATCAGAATCGAACACCAGTCCCCGTAACGACGGGTGAACGTGTCGTGGCGACGTGTCGCCGTGACCTTTCCAAGTATACTGCAACAAAGGCCGGCTCGGTCCATCTCGCATTTAAAATTAAAATTTCCAACCAGTTTTATTTATAAAACACCGAAGGGAGCGCTCGACCAAAATAAAAACACCACACACAGACAAGTTAACACGCATACATACACACTAAACGCACACACACAAACGTGCGCTTACATACAGTCACATAGAACGTATGTACACGTGCACTTGTGTGCAGCGTATAATATTAGTATGTAAGGCGTGTGTCGGTTTATTTACATATAATATCTCTTGTGTGTTTATGGATATTAAAATTTAAATTGTTTCATATCAAATAAGCTGTAAGCGGGAAAAATATTTTGCAAATAACAGACTGCGAGGAATGTTACTAAAACCAGATCGAATTGGACGGAGTATAAGAGCTTAGGACTCGGCGGGTCACCAGGTCCAAAATTGAGGCGACAACTAAATTACCCGCTTTTCTGTAGTCACGGTAACCAGAATGTCAAAATGTTTATTGACAATGAAAAAAAAAGAGAAGCCAGGATTCTGTTTCAATATGGTTCGAAGGCAGACGAATCTAGTAGTACTCTTTATTTAGAATCGTTAATGTCTCTGTTAAACATCGGCAATAAATCGACCAGGAGGAGCACAGTTAAGCTGCGTCCTACATCTAATGACACGTTGAAGAAGAACATGCTACGCCACGGCCCTGCTGACAAGCTGATAGAGAAATTCATGCGAATGTCACAAAAATGTTTTCTACAAACGCCCCGAAGACGCGATATATATTGATTTATTTGGCACATTTTCTATCAGTATTTCGACAGAGTCGTTTTTTTTCGCTACCTATGCTGATAGCCTTGAGAAGCTATTTCAGCTTCACCCTAACGTGTGTAAGTGAGCTCACGGGGCTCAAACCGGAATGTTGCTAACACTGACCCTAGCAAGAGCAGTGCTTCGCAGAATCTACCGCCAGATCGGAAACGCGACCCATTGAGAAGATCCGGCGAGAAACTCAGTGGACTGTGTCTATGGGTTAAAAGAGTCGTGTAATAATCGCGTCGAAAGAACACTCATAGGGTCTTACAAGAGTCATGAAGATCCAGTAGCTAGGCCACCCGGCGATATGTTTCCCCCGCCCACGTCGGACGCGCAAAACATCCGTAACATGTTCTATTCGCGGCGCATACCGAACGACCGCCATTTTTTTTCACCATCACACGAAAATAATGCATGCGACGCCAAAAATACACGAGCACGCTCGCCGAGGGGAATCTTTATGTATTTTTTCATCTATTTATCGTTTCCTGTCCGCGTTATTCCTGGTTGATAAACTAGATTTTTGTGATAGTACATGTGATTAGAATTTCATTTACATTAGATTTTAAAAGCACTGTGAAGTGTTTCGTGTCATGGCCCCCGGTCACGCTAATAGCCAGTGCCGGTTGCTTACGTGCGACCAAAACCATGCACCAAATTTGTGTTGTTAATAGCTCCATTATCATTAAATATGTAAACCGTGTCTTACACAAGTTTTTCTGTTCTATTGTAATCTTAAGATTGAGATATCTGCGACTTGTGAGATTCCAAGACGGATCGAAAAACATTTTTATTTGTCAGTTTAGTTTGTAACTTTTGGAAACCGATGCACAATTGTCCCTTACACTTGTTATAAAATTTGGGTTTTTTTTCCAACATTCATATATCTATATTTCCTTTCGTTGTCAGAATCACAGTCCAAGAAAGAATCATATCGTGGAGAGAGCCAAACAAACGTTAGAAAACTCTTTCCTGCAGCAAGTGAGTTCAAGAATATCCTTCTCGACGTGAGGGGCGAGAAGTCGGATACCCACTTCTCAACATTTCCAATTAAAGACCTGAAATATTGAACACGGACCCTCTGTTTCGCGAATCATTATAGCTTGATTCATTTCAAATAACGACGCCTGAACAGAAAGTCGAGGGTGGAAGCTGTGTAAAATTAAGAAATGTGATTAAAAAGTGGATATCCGACCTTTCGGCTCTAACGTAGAGATTTGTAATATTGTACAAACGTATCATATTCAACCACCACACCTAGTTCGAAAATAGCTTAACACCTGACCAAACATTTGCACTGCGTTGTGTGTGTAACACGAAGAACATTGTGTGTCGTAGCTTCGCAGCCAAGCATATTGTAAAGTTCATGATCATTCAGAGAGCAGTAGACTGGACATCGTGACGAGGACCGATGTTTTTTTTTATTGCCTTTGCAGGCAGACGAGCATACGGCCCACCTGATGGTGAGTGGTTACCGTCGCCCATGGACTTCAGCAATGCCAGGGGCGAGCCAAGCCGCTGCCTACCGCTACGTGTTCGCTCCTGGTTCCTGGTCCAGTTTCAGTTTATTAATGTAATCATGAATTCAAATCTAAAAAAATAACAAAGACAAAACAATTTCCTTCACCAGTTTCTGCTCTACTTGTCTGTGGAAAATAAAACCTGTTGAAGTTTCTTGTTTTTATTTTCATAACAAAACAAAAGAGAAAATTTAGCACTTAAAAGGAATCTAGTTATGGTCGAGTTTCGATCATTGTATGAGTATGGTTAAATTGTGAATTTCTAAAGAAAAAGGTAGTTAATTAAAGTGGTTCGCTAGTTCTTCTCAGGACTGTGACTTTGTAAAATTTATTCTTAGGTTGAACATGTTTGGAAAATAACTTCCAAGAGAATGATGATCAGTATTAAATTTGCAGTGATATCTCTTGTATCTGCGATAACCTTTGAGTTCTCTATTTATAAACGTATCGTTCTATTAAGATAGCTAGTGTTATAAGTATGTACATACGTCTGTAGATGCTTAAACAGAGATAATTCCTACAACAGGTTACAGTAAAATACTGGAGCAGGAGGCCGACATGCTATAAGTGAAGGGGATGAAGGTCTTGCCATTTTTCTTTTCGTGTGTTTTTTATTGTACAGTTTCGGATTTTACGGTTTTTATGATCAGGAAAATTTTCGAAAAAATATTTGTATTCAACTATTGCTTGGATTAAGCGCAAACGATGTCGCGTCTTCTTGAAAATGATTGATAAATAAAATGAAACAGTACATTTTGCTTGTCCGTTGTATTTTAACTGCGTAGATGGGCAGATGAACTCACTGGCCAATTGATAAGCGGTAACTGTAGCTTATAGAAATGGTCACACTGCCAACTCGAAAAAGCATTTAGGCAAAATATCAAAGATCCAAACCGATGTGGTAAAAGAAGCCTTCCAGAGAGAAAAACTTCTATAAAATGTCTGCTGGGTAAACATCTACTGGTAATAATAGCTTGAAGTTGACTGCTCTTACGTTTACGCTAGTTAACTAACGGTATCTTTTGTAAAGGCTCTTATATTTATTGTTTTTAATATCGAAGATTGCTCGAAAACACTTACCATTTATTTAACGGATAGTGTATTTAACATAATCACTATCACTGTTTTGAATTTAAGAGATTGCCTAATATTGGTATTTATTGACCAAGAATAAAGAATTTTCAGATACCGAATTCCAGATAACGAAAACATACATAGCAAATGAAAACCTGAGTTTCAAGAAACTATCTCATAAAAGTTAATTATGGTTAATGTTAACATTCATTAATTTACTTTCCAATGACTCCGCGTCCGTTTGTGTGTTCAGTATCGCCCGTTTATTCATAAAAGCGTAGCCCAGTTGCATGTTCACAAATTTATGGGGTATTTGTGAAAACTACGTAATCCAATAATAATTTTGTATGCAATCTATCCCTGCTTCTACATTTCTCTTACATCTATCTAGTTTGGCAGTTCAAACATTGGATGACCTCGAATTTGAATAGGAAATAACTCATTGCATTCCATATGTTATAAATAATTTGGAGACGCGATTCGTGAAGTGGTTGAATAGGATACAGTTTGTACGTAAAATATTTTCGCTAATGGAAACTCGGGGAAAGTAACAAAATGGCTTATGGACGCTTACAAAACATAACTTTTGAGCAATATGTTATGAATACTATTAAATTATCAGTTTTCAAATATGATAACAGAAGTGTATGTATATATTTTTTTTCATTTTTTATCGTATCATATATGTTCTAGTGTTTTCTCAAGGTTTCGCCATTGTGATTAAAATACAATGAACAAAAGTATCAATAAAACATTAAAAGTACCTTTACTGAATCTCGCGTTTATTAATTTATTTAATAATTTCAAAAACTTTACCGTTCTCGTGATTCTAGACAGTTTTTGTAAAAATAATATTGGTATTAAGACTTTTTAATTAGAGCACCATATCTTAACCATACATTCATTTCGTTTGATTTACAATGCGCGTCATAGTTAACATGATTACCTGAATTCTTTGAAAGAGTATATTGCATATTACGTATCGTTTTTTATATTTAAAATAATCAGCGGCTCTGGCGAGGTCCTACCCTCGAATGTAGAAATGTCTAAATGGTGCAAAGCGCACTTTTTTAATTCAAGGTATTTTGTGAAAGAACTCTTATCGTTCTACGTGTACTTATTTACACTACAAAACTCGATTGAAATCTGTGAAATAATTTGCTTTCTTATACGTCAGCGGCTAACCGGGTCAGTGTGGAAATTGTAACTAAAATTTAAATATAAGTCATTTTTTGTGGTCTAATCCTTGACTTGTTGAGTCTACGACAACAGCGCTCATTATTGAATGACAATTTATTCTGTTATAGTTGAAGAAGCAGCAACAGCTCCAACAGGAGATTCTGCTGCAGCATTTCCAGCAGCAAAGGCAACAGTTGGCAAGAGAACACGAGAACCAGATGAGGGAACATTTGAAGGTAACATTTATGATCTAAGATTCATTTTTGATTTGATGAATCGCGTTTTGAGGTTGCTCGAGTTAGTTGCGTTGAATCCAGCCGACCAGTCAGTATTTCGTATTGCCCTTTGTTGTACGAGGTCAGGGCTCGACCAAGAGGGGTGAAAGAATATTTGGCTTAAGCGACATTTCGCTTAATACACGACATTTATCTTTGTAATTAAAGGTACGTTTTATTTGGTATTAGCATCAACAGTTCGATGTTTTTAATTGAACTTCAATTAAATTTACCCGATTCAAATAACTGAAGATTTTTCTTATGATAGTTTTTCCAAATATTAAAGTCTAAATGGCTCTTCTGTAAAATTGGACAAATGTCTGTTAAAGCCAATAAATAGCCTTTCACCTGTCGATGTAGTTTGATTTTATTTACCCCGAAACCCAGTTAAGTTACACATTATGCAGTGAGAATTTATAGTATCGCGTCGGATGTCAGAGTAGCAGCAGTCCCGGCCAGATGGGTTCTCTAAAAAAAGAAGCTCACATTCTTAGCTACTCACTGAATTCATAGTGACTATCTGTGACCTTGCTCGTTCACGAAGCCCGCTATAGAAAGCAGAGTATTATATACACTTGACATTGGCGAAATCTAAAAGGAAACGCCATAAACCTAAGAGATAGATAGATAGATAAAAAGAAGCTCTAAAACAATTTCTTTCACATCTTTCTTCGTTTCGCTCGTGTGGTGTTTACGTTCTAAAATATAATACTCTCGCTGCAAAAACAAACTGAACTATTCGCGTGCTATAACTTTGGATAACATTGAACGCACGCGTCCGTAACGTGGCTCTGTTTAATAACACGAGATCTTTCCTGTTGTATACGTATCGTGTTAAAAACTTCACGATATTTTCGCGCAAAGTAAGTATTCAGACATGTTGTTGGGCAAAAAAATGGCGTTGCTTAAAACTGTCAGGACGACATCATAAATAGTATGGATTCGGTCGCCTATCTTAATAATAACGACTGCTGTGAGCGAGATCTGGTGGATATCATCAACATCAGTGGAGTAGTCATGTGTTCAGGGTGAGACAGCCGTTACAGGCTCGTCGCTGCCTCAATATGAGTTGCGTTATCTGTAGACTTTTTTATTGCTTAGATCCGTGGACGTGCTCACAGTCCACCTGTGTGTTAAGTGGTTACTGGAGCCCATATACATCTACCACGTAAATGCGCCACTCACCTTGAGATATAAGTTCTAAGGTCTCAGTACAACGGCTGCCCCACCCTTCAAACCGAAACGCATTACTGCTTCACGGCAGAAATAGGCAGCGTGGTGGTACCTGCCCGCGCGGACTCACAAGTGGTCCTACCACCAGTAATTACGCACATTATAATTTTGCGAGTTTGATTTTTATTACACGATGTTATTCCTTCACTGTGGAAGTCAATCGTGAATACTTGTTTAGTACGTATTTCATTACAAAAATTGGTACCCGTCTGGGATTCGAACACCGATGCATCGCTCAACACGAATGCACCGCACGTCTTATCCTTTAGGCCACAACGACTTCGATAGCCAAGAGACACGATCCTTGAGCTTCCCATCTAGACTTTTAAAAAAATCCTTAATAGTGATATAACTACTTCTACGCTTCGGGTCCAGTCTGATATGCATTACCTAATAATTACATAATAATATTGATATGCGATTCTAATCTTGCTTCGCTAGCCAAACTCAGTCACGATTGCCTGTTTCTAACATATCAATTTTTTTACAAGATCACGTGTCGAGAACTAGTTAGTATACGACCAGCTTCGGTATTTCAAAACAAAAAACCAATTAGTTTTATACAGTCATGTTTATTTTTAATTCGTAACGTAATACTTACATATATAAACGTATCGATGTCGACACACATATGGTTTTGAATTTAGATTCGTATGTTTGTTGAAATCGTGTGGAAGGACTACATCAACACTCTGTTAAGATGGCCAGGTCAGCAATGAACGAAGATAGAAGCTGGGTGCTGAGGGCTCTACTAGAACAATGATTTACTAGTTGAATTAAAAAAAATGTAGAACAAGACATTTGATGCCTGGTTGTATATATCAAATACCTTCTTATATGAAGGAGTATCACTGGTCTAAAGCCCGGAAAAGGGTTCCCAAGTGGAACGAATACACATAACTTCCACAAATTTTGTAAAAGTTAGCTTGGATATTTTTCTATACTTTGGGTGCTCACTGAACACTTTGGCATCACATACTGAGAATATGCCGACCTATAAGGGACCTGAACCCCGGCGCAAAAGATAGTCACCTCATCCGCCCAGACGCTAAAACAAAAAAAAAAAATTATTAAAAAGAATTACATCTCATGACGTCACTTTGATTCTCTCGTATGTATCAAAAATCATTTATTTTTCACACAAGAGACTTAATAATTGAACATCTTAGGAAAACATAAAACCTTCATTCGGTCAGTGGAAAGATCTCTCTAACACGTTTCCGTCCACGCGGAGGGGAGTCTGCGTCAACAGCTTGGCGCTTGTGACACAACAAACTTCGAGCTTCGTCATAATTTACACTTTGTCGCGAATGTAATTTTTTATTATGAGGGTATTTGCCACCGAATTTTATTGTTCTCTGTATGACGTAGTTTAGGAAATTAAGAGAAGTAGGAGACTGTTATGTATTATTAATGTAAAAGAGCCAAGAACGAATCAATTCGGAATTTTATTACGATCGTCACAACGCGACGTCGTTATTAGAACGCTAACGACATTATTCTCTGCCTCGGCTTGCTGCTCTAATCTACGCAGGATGATTTATTTGCACTCCTGTCCGCGATGTCAGTACGTGACGCAGTACACCGTGTGATCGTGCTGTAATTTGACTTCACGAACAACTCATTGAAAATCATTTAAAATAGGAAGAAGCTTTTATACCTTCACGTGCGACCTCAAATCCCGTCCAATGCTTGGTGTTTAACCTTATTAGTGATTTTACATTTAATTATTTAAATGAAAGTCCTTCGTCCCTCAGCTATGGGAGCAACAGAAGAAAGCAATGGAGGAGGCAGCGTTGCGCGAGGCCCGAGAGGCGCGGGAGGCTCGGGAGGCCCGGGAGAGGCACGAGCGCGACCGCGTCGAGCTGATGCGGAAGAAGGATATACATGAACACAGCGCCAACGCGTCTACCCAAGTTAAACAGAAATTACAGGTAACTAATGTATACTTATATAGGTATCAAGCTTCAGTGTTGAACGGTTTATAGAGTTCACAGACCACAACGTGTCTGCTGCTGCCTACCTTGTGACAGGACTCAATTTTTTTTATTTAAAAGATGGCTCTGATACACTTGGAATCGGAGCTCGTGGCATTATGCAATCGAAATTCATACAAGATTTGTAGTATCATAGAATGTAGAAAAGTATTGGGCCAGCCTGATGGTGAGTGGGCGTCGATTCTTGTAGACAATGGCAAGCCCAGGGACGACACAGAACCGCTGCCTCTTGCCGGAGATTCCTCAATCCTCGGTGGAAGACGAACATGCCATAGCACTGAGAAACATCCTGCAGGGTCGGATATTGCATGGAAAAAATTATGTATAAGCAACCGCACTGTGGATGAAGCGATATCAGGTGAGAGCTCTGTTCCTGGTGAGCGTAGCGGTTGTGGAAGGGAGATGATGGGGCCATGGCCGACAAAGCGTAGTGCAGCCAACCCACCGTTACTGATAAAATCGCCCACAGTTGCTCTCGCATTCATTGTTTCGCGATATAAGCATTGACTCAGAAGACGTGGTCTCAGGAGTTTGCCACTGCTGATTTGATCACTCCATTTCATCGATAAATTTCTTTGTCGCATAGATCCGCACGAACCCAACACAATCAAGTTTCAAACGAAAAATAGAAAATTGCAGTTTATCAATTTTGATGTTGACCTTTTTTTTTCTTAGGAGTTTATAAAAAAGAAACAGGCCAACGCCAATGGCACCGTGACGACTGCCTCCTACCGCAACTGGTAAGTTCAGGGCTCCCTTCGTGACCTGTCCATCTATGGCACTAGTGCCAGGCTCACTTTGACAAAATCAATATACCGCTTAAGTCAGTTATTATCCTGTTTTTATTTGCATTTCTCTCTCTCTACACTATAATAACCAGTTACTGAAGGAAATATTATGAAACGGTATTGGCACCCGTAATGCATCAGGGAAATTGGCAAATGTAACAATGATTAGGGACTCACAGATGACAACAATTTTAAATTTGAAACAGTTGAAATATAGGATATCAGCTTATATGACGCAACGCAGATTGTCGTATTGACAACCCCCCTTGGCCTCAACAATAAAACGTCCTATCCTTTAAAAAGAAGGTCGTACTGTTGTGAGCTTACGATTGGGAGAAATGATATATTCTGGCATAACGTATGTGATGTGATATCATGGTGCAAGTCACATGACGTTGCATTTTAGCTCCATAGCGACAGGACAAGGTGGGGCGACTACTGATGGTAGTTACAGGGCTGGTGATGGTGACAGAGCGTAATCATGTCACTTTATGTCGCAAAACAAGTCATGCGGTCCGGTTAGAAAGGTGGTATAGTTATAAAATAGAGTTTAGATTTCAACCTCACAAGCCATACCTAACATCAGATGGTCTATGAGGTCATCGGCCCATCTACAGCCAAGTAAACTTACGACCCGGTACAGGTTACGGTTCTCTTGTAGGGGCATAGTGAAGTCTTCATCAGGGGAGTCGATAACGTCGACGGGGGCGACAGCGACGCACCCTTACCGGCTCACGGCGCCGCTGCCACTCAACCTCAACGCGCCCCCTCCGCAACCCTCCCCCGCAGACTACCCCCTGCGCAAGACCGGTAAGTCTATCAGCCCTCAATCATCATTTACCCGAGTGTCCTACTAACGTCTGTTGTAGCGAGTGCCCTGACCGCAGCGACCTCTATCATCTGCACTTTTATGAATGTTGTTTTTTGTAGTTCAATAACTTGTGTACTTATTGTAGTTTAGCAATAAACATAATATTATATATCCGTATCGTATGTGCATATATGTATATTATTTCGTTTCTGCAAAATCTTTAAGGTTCGAGAATAGCGTCTTTAGTAAAATCTTACAACTGAGAATTTTTATTGAAAAAATGTATAAATAAAAACTTAATAAAAGAACTTTTATTTCAAGACATCAGATAAAGAAGTTTATTTAAAGTTAAGCTATTATTTAGATGTGCGCCCCCGTGTACTGCCGATGTAGCTCTGGCTCTGCTCCGGCAGATTTAAAAATGAAATAAATGAACAATCAATAATTCAATTGAATTTAGAAACTGAACTACGGTCCAATTCAATAGCTGAAGAAAGAGCCGCTTGGATCTTTCCGAATTTTCAAAGACTAAATGTGAAGTCGCTGAACTGAATCCCTGTCCTGGTCCCTTGCGGCCACTCCTCGCGACCAACAACTTGATATCTAATCCGGCAATAGTAATATTTGCAATATAGTATCATTATTTATTATAAAATTCATTATAGATTGGAATATATATAGTGTGTGCGTTGTGTTGTGATGCCCAATAACCCGCATGGCGTGAACTAACCTTGCAGCGTCGGAGCCCAACATGCTGAAGCAGCGGCTGAAAGCGCGCGTCATCGAACGCCGGGCCTCGCCCCTCGCGCGCCGCCCCCTCCGGACCAGGCACAAACACCGCAGTGAGTCTCACTTACACCTGCCCCCCACTGACGGCGCGCCCCGACGTGCTCGCGGAGACTGGGACCCAGCCCGAGCTCATCTAGTTTTAAAAAAAATATCACTTTAGAACCTTGCGGTGTGCGGATAGCTAATGCCACACTTGTACTTGCAGACTGCGAAGGTGGGTCCCCCCGCGGTTCGCCCCCCGGTGGCTGCGCCGCGGCTCCCATCCGCGAGGAGGAGGAGAACGGCTCCCGCGCCGCAGAGTTCTTGTTTTCGTCTCCGTCACTGCCCAACATCTCTCTGGGACGACCTCACGTGGGTCCCCGCCTGCACCCGCCCCCCGCGGCGCACACCCCGGCGCCCGTGGTGCTGCCCCCCGTGTCGGAGGCGGAGGCGCTGGTGGTGGGCGGGGCGGGGGGCCGGCCGGTGCAGCGCCTCGGTCGCACGCACTCCGCGCCGCTGCCCCTGGGCGACCCGGCCCTGCAGCCGCCCCCCGTGCACCACTACCTCAGAGATCAGATCCGGAAAACTGTACGTACTATGCTCTCCACTCTGACCACGACTTATCAATAAATACATTTCCTTTATTTTTGGTACTAAAAGTCCAAACAGACATGCCCGTCGCAAGTAGATTGTAACTCACTGTTGGGTAAAGTATCGGGAATGGATTATTTGTTTATGGTTCCAGTCTTAAACTTAGCTTTATTTGTTATTGTTATATTGGCAACACTGTTTTCCATTTTGTGTTTTTGTACGGTGTTGTTTTTAGTTGTGTCGTATCTAGTGTGTGAAGTACATATACCAGTATATTGGACAAGTACATCGAACGAAGATTTTGTCTTTAATTTTGCATCGTCAATGGAATTTCGTATTTATTCGAAGTCACTAACAATATTACAGAAAGATGTTGGTTTATCGACTTCATCAAAAAAATATGCGTATGAAATCTAAAAACCGTTCAAAAGCGATCGATATGTAAAGGAAGATTTGCCTCGCGCGGCTCTGGCAGACTATCAATGTCTCCAACTGAAGTTAACATCGCAAAAGTGAAGGAAATAATTACCGAAAATTCTCGTTCAAGCTTAGAGAGAGAGATAGCCGCCGAACTTTCTGTGTTTCTCGAGTCGATGGCTACCATTTTAAATAATAACTTTGGTATGAAACACGTTGCCGCTCGTTTAGTCCCAAAAGACTTGATTTTTCTCCAAAACACTTCATCGCATAAAAGTCGCTGGACACTTGCCAGAAGGAGTTGGACATGGAAACTGGTCAACAAGCTTCGGAGTGACCCCTTCCATTTAAACTGAAACTGAAAAAACCACACTAAAGTGGACCAAAAGTCATGTTGACTGGTTTTTTTTTACTATCGCGTTGTTGTGCACTCGGAATGCTCGCCGGAAGGTCAGACGGTAAACAAAGGATATTATTATTGGGTCGTGTGTGGCGTGTAGGAGAGCAAATTCGACGAACAAAGTCATCACTGTAANCTTCGGAGTGACCCCTTCCATTTAAACTGAAACTGAAAAAACCACACTAAAGTGGACCAAAAGTCATGTTGACTGGTTTTTTTTTACTATCGCGTTGTTGTGCACTCGGAATGCTCGCCGGAAGGTCAGACGGTAAACAAAGGATATTATTATTGGGTCGTGTGTGGCGTGTAGGAGAGCAAATTCGACGAACAAAGTCATCACTGTAAACGAATTATTTTCATTCAAAAAGACAAAGGGGAATTCGCGGCGAGAATTGAACTAAATTCCGGAAAAAGCGCTTAAAAAATATTTTGATCATTGAACTATTCGTTGGGCGTAAGTGTATTGTTTCTGAAAGAGCATACTTTGACGGTGATAAAATAAGTTTTAATGAATTGCTAACATTTTTGGTATCATTGATCATTTCCCGGTACTTTCTTGACAGGATAGTATAAAAATATCTCTTGTCCCCACAGTATAATAAGTTCTAGCTTGGAGCCAAGTGTGTGTGATTATTTAGTATTTATTTACGTGTTAGGTGTTGACCCGCGCACATGACGCGGCGGTGCAGCTGCGGGAGGAGGAGGGCGAGGTCATCGACCTGACGTCGAAGCGTAGCGATCCTCCCGCCCCCGTCGAGCCGGCCCCCCTCACCCGCGCCCTCTCGTCGCCCCTGGTGGGGGCCAGGGTGCCCGCCACGGGACTCGCCTACGACCCGCTCATGCTCAAGCATGGGTATGCATTATTATAGAGTAATTCTAAAAATACATAAATAATCTCTTTAAGAGTCCGACTTTTCGAATAATGTCCAGTATTTGTGGTAACGGTCCCGCCCGAGCCGAAATATAGTGCGTGCGTGTGCGTGCAGGTGTGCGTGCGGCCAACACGCCCCCACGCACCCGGAGCACGGCGGCCGCCTGCAGTCTGTGTGGGCGCGCCTGTGCGAGACCGGCCTGGCCGCCCGCACCGAGCGCACGCGGCCCAGGAAGGCCACGCTCGACGAACTGCAGGTACGGGGACTGTTGCTCCCTCACTCAGGTATCAGATCTACTCACAGGTATATTGAGTTATGTGTTGTGTGTGCAGAGCGTGCACACGGAGGCGCACGTGCAGGTGTTCGCGGGGCGGGGGCGCGACGGCGCGGGCGTGGGGGCGGGGGGCGGCGCGGGGGGCGCGGTGCGGCAGCTGGTGCGGCTGGCGTGCGGCGGGCTGGGCGTGGACTCGGACACGGCGTGGTCGGACCTGCACACGGCGCCCGCCGCGCGCCTCGCCGCCGGAGCCCTGCTGGACCTGGCGCTGCGCACCGCGCGCGGACACCTCCGGAACGGGTCCGTACACACACGCACTCGCTGTCCGGGGACTGCGGCAACACGGCTAGGGTTTTAATGTTTTATTTAATAGTTGGTACAGAGTCAAGTTATGTTTGATTGTTGCCGTAGTCTGAATCCTCAGTGTATTTTTTGAAGCATTTTTATTTTTATTTATTAATCTGATAAATTTTGAAAACAAGATTATATGTAGATTACCCAGTCTACACTTTAAAAATGTCTCGCAATGCAATCGTTTCAATCACCTGCCCCATCGAACTAGCGTCGCGGTTGTCCCGGACCGTGCTGTCCGCGGCTCCCCGGGGGCGCGTTGAAGATTGGACCCACTTTTTGGGTGTTACGTCGTTAGGTACCTCGATTCGGGTTAGGTATAGATTGCGACTTCTAGGAAATGATACTAGATTTAGATTTGAATATTGCTTTTTGTTAAAATGAATGTACGGTTCCAATATGCGGAACCCTCGGCCGCTCGCTTGTTCTGACGGTCCCCCGCTGTGCGCGCAGGTTCGCGGTGGTGCGGCCCCCCGGCCACCACGCGGAGCCCAACCAGGCGATGGGCTTCTGTTTCTTCAACAACGTGGCCATCGCCGCTCGCGTGCTGCACACCAGGCTGGGGCTGCAGAGGATACTCATCGTCGACTGGGTGGGTAGCTGCGCACTCTAGGCCGGTCCGCCTGCGCGCAGGGCTGCACGACCGTCTGACGCCGGGCGGATACTGGAGCTCGTGCGGAATTGTTGATGACATGTATCTGCATTTCTCAGGACGTGCATCACGGCAACGGCACCCAGCAGATATTCTACGAGGATCCTCACGTGCTGTACATGAGCATCCACCGGCACGACGACGGGAACTTCTTCCCCGGAACGGGAGCGGCCACCGAGTGCGGCGCCGGCCCGGGGCTCGGCTACAACGTGAACGTGCCCTGGAGCTGCGGCACCGACCCGCCCCTGGGGGACGCGGAGTACCTGGCCGCCTTCCGCTCCGTCATCATGCCCATCGCCAAGGTACGCGACAGGGCTGACCCCGTCCTCATGATGAGACCCCCTCAGCTTCTGCGCCGGTTCTATGTTCACGTTCATATAAGAGCAAACTCTGACACCCACACGGCGCGGTGGCGTCGGGGAAAGTTCGGGGGCACGAATCCAGTCGATGTACTGTACCTACCCATAATGACAGCTCAAATAAATGAAGCCGATAAAAAAAAAAAGTGTGTGTGTCCGCTCCGACGCACGACTGGAGTTTACTGGATATAAAAAATTAAACGAAACAATACGAGAAATAGTTCTATATTACGACAACACGATACACTACAGATTATTAACAAATTAACGAGACACAAAACAAACGACTAACAAATATATGAAAATACAATAATGAGAGAAACGCGCGAGCAGTACGAGGCTTTGTGGCGGACTGCCGGCGCAGCAGCCCGGCGTCACCTGCGATAACGCGGCCGCGCGTTGGCTCCTGATTGGCGCGCGCACGCATCACGCAATCAGGAGCCAATCAGGCGCATAACGCATTTCGTGTGACATGCTAGTACGATTTTGATTGGCGCGCGCACGCATCACGCAATCAGGAGCCAATCAGGCGCATAACGCATTTCGTGTGACATGCTAGTACGATTTTGGTCCCCATAATTTTCATACCCCGGGCCTATATATGTAAATCGATTCTAAAGGAGTAAACTCCAAAAAATATAATTTTATAAGCGCCCCATCGATTCATTTCGTGCGTTGAGCGACCAAGTCTGCTGTTCCAGGAGTACGACCCCGAGATAGTGCTCGTGTCGTGCGGGTTCGACGCCGCGGCCGGGCACCCGGCGCCGCTCGGCGGGTACAGCGTGTCCGCCGCCTGCTTCGCGCACATGACCAGGGACCTCATGCAGCTCGCCAACGGCAAGGTAGGGGCCGCACGGGCGCCAACAGCGACCGAAGAATTATACACATTCTTTATTTCATTCATTATATCTCGTAATATGTCTCAGACCAGGGCTCACTGTCTCATTCACTCAGCGGAATGAACATGTCACAATGAAGGCCTCGTTACAATAAATAACAAATCTTGTGTATAATATCTAAGAGGTACCTTTGTCCAATAATGGACGCCTCCTCGCCAACATTCCAGAAAGTTTTCACTCTTTACGTGAAACTTTCTTCATTGTAATATTATAATGGGCGAGAACAGAAGGGCTCCTGCCGAGGGGTGATGAAAAATTGAGGAGGTTGTGTTGTGTCTGCAGGTGGTGATGTCGCTGGAGGGCGGCTACGACCTGGCGGCCATGTGCGACTGCGCGCAGGAGGTGGTCCGCGCGCTGCTGGGGGACCGCCCCCCCGCGCCCCCCTACGCCGAGCTGTGCCGCGCCCCCCACCCCCGCGCCCAGCACGCGCTCGCCGCCACGATTGCCGTGCAGGCGCAGCACTGGCCCACCGTGAGTACCCGCCCCGCTCGTCCACGTCAGCCCACAGCGCGCACTGAGCATGGTGCTGCCACGGACTCTCATCTCGTCCTCGTCTCGCACGAGCTGAGCGGGGGGCGCACGCTCCACACCGCCACATTCGGTTATCTTTACCGAGGAGCTAACGCATCCTTAACGTCGCACAGATCAAGCGGTACAGCAGCCTGGTGGGCATGTCTGCGTTAGAGGCCGCGCCCTCGGTGGCGGCGGCCCGGCTCGGAGCCCTGCAGAGCGAACGGGACGCCGCCGACACCGCTGCCGCCATGGCGACGCTGTCAATGCACCAGCACAACCGGCCCGTGTCCACGTGAGTACTGCTCGTCCCGGACCCCCAGAGCTCGCCCCGACTGGTGGAACCCTGCGACCACCGCGCGCCCCCCTAGTGGAACAGAAGGCTGACCGGGGGAATCTTTTTTGTCCCGATGCCAGACATGTCTTTTGCAAAGAGATCTCTAGGTAGCCGGCCGGGTCCCACCCGCAGACTGAACCAGTCACGTTGACGCCGGCGCCACCGCCCTAAGCTCGCAACCCGACGAGCCTCATCAGATTTCCTTGTGGTTACAGGTCTGCAGAAAGTTCAAGGTCGGTTTCGGAGGAGCCCATGGAGCAGGACGAAGCGAAGTGAGCGCCGCGTCACGCCGCGCCACGACACGCCCTGCCCCGCCACGCCGCGCCACGCCGCGTGACGTCACACAGGACGGCACATTCCCTCCGGCCGCCCTCCAGCGACGAGACCTCTCGTCTCGATTGATTATTTATTTACCAGTACGGTCACGTCGTGCTGAGTATAAATGAGTTTTATGTATATTTGTGTTGTACAGTATGCATGTTCGTGTCGATGCGTGTGGGTGTACGCTGCGGCCCCGGGACCGCACTGCGCGTCTGTAGTTAACATTGTAATCGAAACTTGTCCTGCCAAATACTTATTTTTGTTTCTGTAAATCGCGTTGTTATATGTATATGTCCGGGGACGGGCCGCGCGCCGCCGCGGGTCTTGTACGGAACTTTGTGTAGAATGTAAAATTAAGACAAATCTTAATTTTGAAAGCTTTAAAAAAAGTAGTAGAGTAATGTGTACAAAATATATTATTTAATATATAATTATTATATATTTGGATATGAACGCTTTTTTTTTATTATAATTACGAGAGTTTATTGTTTGAGCCGCGGGGAGCGCTACTCGTTGAGCCTCCATATTTTTATAATAATTAATAGATAAAGAAAAACTTAGTAAAAATGTCGAGTAATTGCGAGTCGCGCTCCGGATGAGCCATGTACTTGTGCATCCAATCCTCGGTCGTCTCTCCTGTACCAAAGACTTCAATCAACGAACGTTGTTCGTGTGTAGCCGCGGGGGGCTCCACGGGACCGGCCCCCCCCCCCGGTGCGCCCCCCGCGGCGAGACAGTGGGTTACAAACGGTTGAAGGATATTTGTGTGTAGTTCGTACTGTTGCTAAGTGACACTTGAGGAGAGCGAGGAGTCCCCCGGGGGGGTGCGGGGGGCGCGGGGACCGAGAGCATGCGACGTGTGATAATTGACTCTGCCCGTTTATTTGTTCGGATGCCGAGTGTTTCGTCTATAAACTGTTGATGTATTGAAATATTATTTTGTAATTAAAATGAGAATATTAGATTTATATTATCGAATAGGAGAATGTGTTGTTCGTATGAGCTTCTGTTTCTTGGAGTCGTTGAAGCGATGTTGTAATGTTATATCGAATAGACGTCTCGACTGGTCGCGGCCCCGGCGACGAGAAGCGGGGCCGTGGACTCGCACGGGTGGGAGGGGGGCGGGCCGCTTCGTCGTGTTGTAGTAATGTATGTTATTATCAAGTCCAGACTGATAAAAGTCTCGAGAATTATATTTTGTAGTGACGTGGATTTAGTTTTTTCTACTAAACCACGTCCAACGGCTCGGTCGTGTTTGTAACGAACGGATGTCGTTGCAGTATTTCGATTACATTATATCATGAAATGTGTAGATACAGAGATGACTATTTGTGTGACAACAAGGAATAAAAGATAAATTTCAAAAAAAAATTATTAAGTCTAACTTCTGAACGAGAAAGTGTTATAATTTAAATAAGATTAGCACGAACAATTTAAAATATTAAATTAAGTTTTTCAAGAGAAATATTTCTTACGTGGCGAGTTCTTTTAAAGAGATTTCAAGATGTTTCTGATAAAAAATAAGAAAGCCTAAACTGTATTGTAGTCCACCCCCCGGCCCGCGAGGCCCCCGCGCGACGCAAGCAATACTGACGTCTAGCCATACGGGTTTAGGTTCGTATTGCCTTGCGTCGGCGCGAGCCTCAACCAGGGATGGAATCCCATTTACGATAGTTTAAAATAAATAAATAAAATGTTGTGTCTTTGAAAATTTTATTGTTAAATTGTAATACAGATGAAATAATTATTTAATAAATGTATATATAAATCTATATATTTGGAAATACATCTGCATTTTTATTTACAGTTGTTGGTGTTTCTTTTTCACTTTTAAAAGAAAACAATTCAAAAAAACAACAAAGTATGAATCTCTTGTCACAAGTCCTGGTAATATTCAGTTAGGAAGATTTTAATTTTAAACCAGGGCACACTATTTGTAAAGATTACATGAACGACTTTTTGGCGGGAACGCGAGGAGTAAAGTTGTGTGATTTGTTTTATTTTGTCTATTTAGTGTTTCTTCAGGTTTAAATGTGTAATAACGGTGATTTATTAACTGTTTAATATCTGTGAAAGTACACAAATGTGGGAAAATGAAACAAAGCCGCTGGGCGTAACTTCTCGGGATCCTCCAAAAAGTTTACTGAAAAAATCTTAGTAAATGACCACCACTTTTTCTGAGATTATATTTCATCCCAAATCATCTCGTCTCATTTCATTTCCCTCCATATCATAATTTTTCATAAAAATAAGAATATAATTAAAATAAGGCTTGACTTAAAGGTCTTAGTTACCAGGTCATTTTTCCCTTAAAAAAATTACATTAACAATTTGGCTTAAAGGTCTAGTAGCAGGCCATAAAATTACAAAAAAAATACATGAACAGTCCGTCGGAAGAGGGAACGTACTCTGTATTTAATATACACATAAAACTGTTAGCTGCTGTTGACGAGTTTTACAGATTTTATAAAATGACAGTAATGAAAAGGTGGGATGTCTTTACATGGTGAGCAATAAAAAATGTAACACATTCAATGAATAAATATTTCGATGTGTCCATGATTATGGTCGAATTTCTTAATCGCTTTTTAAGGTGTTGCCATTATCAGTGTTAAAAAAAGACTGTGACTTGTGCTTGTCCTGCCGTCTACTTACTGCGTACCATAGTAATGGTGGAGGAGGAGGAGGAAGACTTGGATGGAATGGGTGATAGAGGAGGATGCGAGAGAAGGGTGTGAGTGCCGAGATGACATATAGTAGGTCTGAATTGATAAGGCCAAGATGAAGGCATGGTGCTCATTCCAATGTTCGAATTGTCGATAATCCCATTCTGACCGATTGTTTCGGACCTTTGGGTCTGCGGAGGGACTTCGCTTCTCTCTGTATTTTGTACCGTATGTTCCATGGGGAGTGCTCTGAGGTATTATTTGAGATGATTCTATCATCTCGTTTTTACCATCGCACTGCCCGCCACCGGAGTAGAGTTCATCCATACTACTTGGAGCCACTGCGTTCATCCACAGTGCATTTCTAGAGATCCTTTTTTTGCCATGCACCATCCGGTTTTGAAATGAGCTCCCCTCCACAGTGTTTCCTGAGCGCTATGACATGTCCTTCAAACGAGGCTTGTGGAGAGTACTTAACGGTGGGCAGCGGCTTGGCTCTGCCCCTGGCATGGCTGACGTCCATGGACGACGGTAACCACTCACCATCAGGTGGGCCGTATCCTTGTCTGCCTATACGGCATTAAAAAAAAACGTATCAATACCACCGAGTCTTTTAATAAATCATTTATATTTTTTCTACGACCCAAGTACATTTTCGGATTAGAATAAGTCTTAAAAGTATCAAGTCATGACTATATTCATGCTTTGAGTTCAAATTGAAAAGTGTTGTAGGTTATCAATAAGATTACAACAAAACTGACCTTTCAGAAGTAGTAGTTCCATTTTTCCAACATGGCAAACCTATCACGCCATAATCTAATCCTAATCTTTTGTATATTCGTACGAACATTACGAAAAATAATAATGTATGTAATGGTTGGATGTAATGAGAAGTTTTCTATGTAATCTGAGACTGTAATGAATTTGGATGAAATTAAATGAAGCGATATGGGATGAAATAAAGTCTCAGTAAAATTGTGGTTATTTCCTGAAACTTCACTGAACTTTTTGGAACAAACCGAGAAGCCATATCCAGCGACTGCGTTTCGTTTTCTCACATTTATACACTTTCACAGATACTAAACAGTTAATAACCGTCCTTTATTAGACGTTTAAGCCGGAAGAAAATTTAATTACAAAAATTAAACCTTGTAAAAGTTCGTTTGTCGCGTTTCCGCCAAAAGTCGAGTCGTACACAGAGTAGTTAAAAATATAGACCAAAGTATATGTTTGAATAAAGCCTATACCTAAAGAGGTCATTTGCACATTGAGCGAACATGAGTCATTACAAAATCCCGATGTACAGACAGATCACACTTTTTGTTCAATAATGACTAGTGAAGAGCCCTCCTACTGAATCTAAGCTCTTACCTTAAAGTACTAAGTTCTAGTATAAAAATATATATTTCTGTAAAACGTTCTTATGCTTAATTAGTTTTCCCGAATTTACTTCGATACAATGAACGTGGATCCCACAGGCCTTGTAGCTTTTAATTACTAATAATGATTATAATAATCTAGAGTGTGCACTAACCGTCAGATGAGCCGTATGCCCGCCCAACGGTGATTACTTAAAAAAAACATAAACAAAACGGATCCTTAATCCGGTCGAGTACTCTTCGTATATTTTATAAAGGTATTTTATCTGGGTTCCCAGATCACAAGCTACTTCTCACACGCTGGCACACGGAGGGTGCGTCCCTCGCTAACGGCTCTGTGTCGAGCCTCAGTGGGCACTCATCGTGTCTCAGATATACAATTCATTGATTTTCTTAACCTATAGAAATTTATAATATAATAAAAAAAAGTATTATGAACAAATTGTGTCTTTACATAATTCATTATGAAATTTCGATTGATTTCATATTTTACTATTAACGACATTCGGAGACAAAATTGGAGATTAAACCACAATAGTTTAAATATTCAAGGTTATTTTTTCTTTTGATTTGTTTGATCTTAATAACTAAACAACCCACAGATGAAATAAACAAAAAATATCACCAAAGAAAAACGTGTGTTCAGTAGATAGTCGGTCCCCCGGGGCGCCGCCCCCGCGTGCCGGTGCGCGCTACAGGCGGTGGGGGGGGTCCAGGGTGCTGCAGCGGCAGTTGCAGGAGCTGACCGGGCACTCCGCGTGCTCCCTGCAGCACACGGGACTCTTTGGCACGCGCTCCGCATGTTGGGAGCTGTATCACTCTCATTACATATTCATTCTATAAGTTCGCTCTAACGAGCTGAGCCCAGTGGCAACAGCAGGGCAAAAACAATATCATTTTATTGTCAGCTTCAGTTTGTCATTTTTTATTTTATTATATTGCTCAGGTGTCTGGACGAGCTCACGGCCCACTTGGTGATAAGTGGTTTCCGGAGCACATAGACATTTACAACGTAAATGCTGCCACCCACTTTGAGATTAGTTCTAAAGTCTCAATATAGTTAGAACGGCTGCCCCACCTTTTAAGCCGAAACGCTACTGCTTCACGGCAGAAATAAGCAGGGCGGTGGTACCTACCCGTGCGGACTCATAAGTGGTCCCACTACCAGTACTTATGTAAATTATAATTTTGCGGGTTTAATTTTTATTACATGATGTTATTCCTTCACCGTGGAAGTCAATTGTGAACAATTTGTTGAGTACGTATTTCATTAGAAAAATTGGTACCCGCCTGCGGGATTCGAACACCGTCGCATCGCTAGATACGAATGCACCGGACGTCTTATCTTTTAGGTCACGACGACTTAAATATAAAACTTGTTCGGAAACGGAGAACATGAATTCTACGTTAGACAGAGAGCGCAGGAGCGGGCGGCACGTACTTGAACCAGTCCATGAGGTGCGCGGCGTGGCCCCCGTGCCTGCAGGCCACGCACCAGCTGAACCAGCGGGGGAAGGCCGCGCCCCCCGCGCCGCCGCCCGCCGCACCCCCCGCGCCGCCCCCCGCGCCCGTGCCCAGGTGCAGCGAGCACACGGCGCAGCGCGGCAGCGGCTTGCGGCAGTTCGGGCACGACGAGATTTGCTGAAACATCGCGCCCCTTGCTCGGAAACGTCTTAAGGCTTCGTCAAATAGAACGCGTACATAGCGCGCGTCAGAGCGCTAAACTAAAGGCGCGCTATGACGCCGAGATGTGTTGTACTACTATGGTAACATACCGTCAAACAGAGCCCCAGCGCTAGCAGTACGCAAAGCTCTGTCGCGGCGTTAGGACGCATTGACGCCAGGCGTTGTAATTTTTTACAAATATTATTTTAGCGTCCGAGTGAATGTGTATTAAAATACTGGATAATGCCCGAAAAATTGATAGAATTAGTTAGGAAATACCCATGTTTATACAATGCCACATCTGAATCACTCGACATCTTGAAACTTTTTAATTTTCACACTGTTATCGAAAGGCACTATGATTTGGCGGATGTTACGTTGCGTCAAGGAGCGTTGGGCTCGTCTAGTCAATTTGTGTGACATGAAAAGAGGGCGACGTTAAAACGCCGCGCTAAGAACGCGTTCTGTTTGACGAAGCCTTAAACGATAGTTGTTAACGAACGAGGCGGTGCCCCCCCCCCTCCACGTGCTGCGGGACGCACGCCATTTCATTCCGCCGCCGACCGGCCGTGCGATCACGCGCGCCCACTTCATACAATTTTGTTGGCGCGTCCATCACCAAGAAGCCTCCGTGATTTAAGAAAAAAACACGCGCGGCCATCACAAACAATCTGCTGCCGCGTGTACAAGAAGCCTCGTTAACAATAGTTATAAGTTCGATCTGGGTTTTTTGATTTGTGATTGACAATAATTGATTTAAAATGTTTATAACTAATTAATATAAGAAGTTAACGTTTTTTTTTCTCATTGCTCACGAGTGTATCTGAACCCATAGACATCAATAACAAAGATGCCGCCACCCAGCTTGAGATATGAGCTGTGAAGTTCAGTTCTATAGTAGAACTGCTACCCCACCCTTCGAATCGGAACGTATTACTACTTCGCGGCAGGGGGGGGCGGAGGTACCGGTAACGTAGCATTTCATCACTATATGAAGTATGTAGGTCGCGGGGGAATGTTGTATTTACCTTCATCTTGGCGGCGGGCGGCGGCAGGCGCGCGAGCGGCGGGCGAGGCCGGGCCCCCGCGGCCGCCGCCACGGACTTGCCGCAGTAGGTGCAGGCCACGCACACGTGGCGCACGGCGGCCGCGGCGCTGCCCCCGCACACCCACGTGTCCAGCGCGCAGCGAGCCCACCACAGCCGCCAGCCGTCCAGCAGCCCGCGGTAGCTGCCCGTTACACACAACACTTCGCATTACTCTCTTCACAAGACTGCACTGCTGCTGCCGGAGTGCCGTCCTGTCTCAACCAGTCTATAGACCTCAACAGCAGCGCACGACACACGACAGCATAAATGATTCCACACATTCACATATTTTGCGGGTACCACTTTAATACCCCTGTTGCTAACGGTGGGGTCAAACTGTAAAACTGTTCAATAAATGAAAACCAAATTTTCCATTAACTATAGTGTGCGCGGAAGCGCTAGTCACCGCCCGAGGTATGCGAGCGGCAGGGCGGGCGAGGTAGACAAACGTCAAGCTAACTCAGTCTGCCGTCGACCACCGCGGCGGTTGTACGATACAGTTGTTCTTGCCAGTTTGTTCCAAACATACACGAGATAAAATATCCTAAGATGGGTCCACCAATAACACGATCAGTGTAAAATGTAATTTACAATGTGCACAATTTTTTTTCTCAGACCGTAATTAGAATTGTAGCTGAAGTAAATTCGAATCGGCAAACATCGGAAAAATCAAAATCTACTTCTCCATGAAAACCTAAAAAAATAAAAAAGAGAATCTACATTGATGATTTCGACATGGGGGTATTACGATGGAAAATTCATAAATTTTTGTTGGTAAAAAAATCAAAATAGATGAATAAATAATTATTTTTTTATAATGTACTATAATGGTGATAGAGTTTTTTTTTATTTTCTTTTTAAGAAATGTTCATTTGCTTATAAAATTGTTTTGTTTCGTAATAAAATATAATAAACACTTTTGAATATGCATTTTTTGTTTAACCAGGAAATAGAAAAATACAATATTAGAATTAGGCACCCATTACATTAATTCTAATATGTTATTCTGAGATTTATCTGCACTTAATATAATATCGTGTGCGTCTTGTCAATCGCGCTCTCCCCCGTCTCACCCCGCTACATACCTCAGGAGATGACTAGCGTTTCCGCGCGCACTATAAGTGCACTGCTATACAAGAATGTAATAAAATAATTTGACACTACCATGAACGCACGGCGCGTCTACGTATTCAATTAGGTATATACAAATCACAATTTAATGCCTCTTTTGCTAGCGGTGGGGTCAAGCCGTAGAAATGTTCAATCAATTAGTAAAAATCTATGATACTATGATAGTTGATGTGGGTCGGTGCGGGGCAGGGCGCGGTACCTGTCGAGCCAGTGCTGCACGTGCGGCAGGGCCAGCAGCTCCGGCGTGAAGCAGCGCGCGGCCAGCAGGGCGGCACTCTGCACGTCGCCGCTCGCGTCCAGCCAGTGCTGCAGCAGCGCCGCGCCCTCCGCGCCGGCCCCTGGACCACAGCACCGCGCAATGTAACACACGTGTACCGAGCACATCGCCGGGGTGGGCAGCCCGTCCCTCACCGGTGAGCAGCACGCCGGACAGGTCCCCGCGCTGCACGAGCGCGTCGGCCGTGTGGCGCACGTACTCGTGCAGCTTGCCGTCCGACAGGAACATGCAGGCGAAGGCCACGCGGTCCTCCAGCCGCATCTCCGTCTCGTCCTGCGGGCGGCGCCGCGGGGCAAATGGTACTCGATTGTTTTTAATCCGTATTATGTTACGAAAATGATAGGAAATGGTTATTTTAATTGTGTTGTCATAACTCTTATATTGTTGCCAGATTTGTTTATTACATTAATGAATCACTAATGATAAGTGATTACCAAAGCCCAGAGTTCGCAACGAGGACGCGAGCTCCCTTGAGACTTGAGCTCGAAGTCTTTATGATATGGTACAACGGCTGCCCCGTCCTCCAAACCTGAACAAGTGACCGGCGGGATAGTGGCACCTAATGTACGCTCCCTACAAGCGTTACTTGTTACTTTAAATTGAATTTTCTCACTGCGATAGACGATGCGTGATACTTCAAGTGACGTTTAAGGGACGCATCAAGGGCAAGTGGGTTGGGGAGGGGGTCGCGTTACGTCACAATATACTGACGAGCACGGCGGACAGGTCGGGCGGCGCGGAGGGCGCGTGCAGGGCGGGCGGCGCGGGGGCGGAGGCCGCCAGGAAGTGCAGCAGGCCGCGCAGGTAGGCGTCGGGCAGGGCGGAGGCGCCGGCCGCCAGCGCCTCACGCCACAGCCGCTCCTCACTCAGCCCCGCCAGCGCCAGCCCCACCACGCGGAGCTGTTCCAAACAACCGTAGTCACATATCACGAGAAAATACAACGAAAACTTAAAAATATTGAATACCTGATTTGGGCTAAAGTATTAAATTACTGACCACAAAAATTAAAATTAACCTAAAGGGCCGAAATTATATGTGTCTTTGTACATAGCAGTGTAATGTCGGTCCGTGATGTGTACGCACCTGCGGCTCGTGCGCCCGGGCCAGCACGTCCAGAGCAGTCCTGAGCCGGAGGTGGAAGGCGGCGAGTGCGGCGGCGCGACACGGGGTGCCCTCGGCCTCGGCGCGCTCCACCCCCGCGTCCGCGTTCTCCCACCCCCACCCCCACCCGCACAGCTGCAGTGCACGAGTTCGCTCTGCACTCCTGGAATAGCCATCAGAACATTTACTCATGCAGACGAGCTACAGATTTCCTGTCCTTAACACGGAGACGACAATGGCCATCCACTTTAAGACACAAAGTCTCAACATTACGCTTGTGATGTGTGTCCTGGTTATACATAGTACATTCCTCCTTCATTATCCAAACATGGCCCCTCCCCCATCGGTATCTCATCTTTTAGACTATAGAGCCTTCATAGCCTAATATTACTCTAACGCTGTCATTGGTAAGTACCTTACAATAAAACTATGCACGACGGCCGCAGAACTATCAACGCGACCTCGCGGTCCACATTCAGTTCGCAGCTCTCAAGTGGTATAGTACTGGGGCCCCGGCAGGCCAGCTGGGGCCCGTCGGAGGGGAGTGAAGGGAGCTTGATGCCTTCTCCGACCTCCTTCTCATAAGACTTGGGCTCTCGAAGGAAGGAGTCCATTTACTGAATGCTCAACACTAAATAGAAGCGCGAGCGGCCCCGGCGGCGGGTGTCTGACCTGTAGAGCGTGACCCTGCGGTTGGGCATATCGGGCAGCAGGGAGGGCACTATCTCGGAGCGGTAGCCGCCGTCGCCCGGGGACCGCAGCACGGTCAGCACGCCCGGGTGCTTCCACGGACTGTTCCTTATGCAACCTGCCATCAAACATTACACGATTACAGAATATTATTACTTATTGCCGGTGCGGTTTAGATAGGAACAATATAAGACTCACCATCTTCCACCAAGGACTTGCTCAAGGCCATGAAGTGCCACAGGGCGCTGAGCGCGTCGTCATCGGCGAGGTCTGCGTTCTGCCACAGGTCTTGCTGCGGCCAAACATTGAGAGCATCACAACACGGCTCGGCGCGGCGGGTGCTCCGCCCCCACGCCCGGCGTTGAACTGTAGCAGTTTATTTTCTTTTTACAGTATTAAGAGGTCTGACCTGTCCCGCGGGTGGCACTGAACAGATGACAGTACCGTTGTCTCTAAATCATTAATTATTATTGCAATCCTAGTCCGTTCTATACCTATAATGAAGTTCAACGCCGGCCGTGGACTCCTGCACACAAATTCACGACAGGCCAGTCCCCGACACCCAGTATGTACACACACACATATCTCATTGTCCCTGATCATGATCGATCAATACGTGTTTTAAATCATAAAATACCATGGTTAGTTTCTCCCGTCCGTGAACAAATTCTTTACCAAGGTGCTAGTCGCGAGACGACATTCTTGAAAGTTTTTGCAAATTTATGTCTGGTTGCTTTAGACACAGGATGAGCTCACATTCCGCCTGAGCTCGCGTGGTTACCGGAGCCCGCGGGCACCGCCCCGAGCCCGTGCGGCCCAGACCACGCGTGGTCACTTTGCTACTGTTGCGAGTGCAGGCAGCCCGGGTACGCGCTTCTGTAGGAGCCGTCGGCCCGGGACCGCCCGTGGGGCCGAGGCTCGTGGCGCAGCAAGTACCTTGAGGCCGTAGTCGGTTTGGGCGCGTCGTCTCATGACGTGCGAGATGTCCTTCACGACCCCGCACAAGTCGTCGTTGAGGACACGGAGTCCCCCTCCTCCCCCGGACCAGGCCAGCCCTCCCCCCGCCCCCCAGGACACCGCCACGCGCTCGCAGACCGTGTAGTCTACCAGACCGCCTGGCCATATTTTATATTGTTATAATGAAAAACTCTTATGATTCACAAAACATAAACAACATATTAAATATCGAAATTGGTAAATTCATTTTCTTAAAATACAAATATTTCAACAGGCGACTTAGGCCACATTAGAGAATGATGCTATGGGAGCCTGCCAGTAGCAACAGTACAAAGTGGACCGTGGACCTGTGGCGCTGAGTGCCAGCAGACGCGCCTCGTGAGCCGGATGGCAGCAGAAGGCCACGAGCGGCTGCGACCCTCCAGGAGTGACGTCACGCTCCAACACGCTCGGTCTGCGAGAGTACTCCTCCACTTCGGCCTCTACGGCCGTCGCCGTCAGCTAAAACAATTTTCGAAGCAATTCGATTCGTGTCAGTAATTATTTAAACTACAGCACCGGGTCCACTGCTCCCTGCCGCAACTCTACTAGCCAGTACTGCGTTGTGCAAGTTATAATGTTACAGGATAAGTACAGCGGCGTCCCTGCAACACCCAGGCGGGCTCACAATACATTTGCCACCAGGCATCGGAACAGGTGAAGTAAATTAAGGATACTTCTTACTTGAGGACGCCGAGATGTAATCTCCACGTTAGAACACTGATAGGCTAATTTCGTGTGTAGGGCTCACCACATCGAGCGCGTTTTTCTTCCACTCAGCACTGGCCTGCTGTATGTCGTGGATGCGGAGCGACTTGGAATCTCTCTGTAGCGAGAGAAGAAGGTTGCGTCTGCGTCAGAAGGAAAACATTTAATGCATTAGTTTTTCGTGGGGCTTTAAATATTTTACATTCCATTGCGTGGTTTGCAACACATATTAGTTCGGATTTTATACTGAAAGTTGGTTTATAAAGTACTTGTGCCCCAGTAGAGCCCCAGTACGGAAGGGAATCTAACCTGGTAGGGCACCACTGCAGATGGGTGACGGCTAGAGGCCGGGGATGCTGCAGAGAGAGTACGGGGCGGTCGAAGTGCCTGGTGTCCCAAAGACAGACCACGTTCTCTCCGCGGGAGGCGAGCTGGTGGGAGCTGTTCGGGTCGGCACACACACCGTAGCAGTAGCGGGTCGCGGTCATGCTCACGGCTTTGTTCGATAAATCTGTGGCAATTTCATTTTTATAAAGATTCGGTCTTGAGCATCCAGTTGTGGCCATTCTTCAATGTCCTTTTTATTGTAAGTAAATAGACGACAAAGAGAACCGACCGTTCAAGGGTTGATACAGTTTTCTGCTATTATATATATCCTGCAGTAATTCAGACTCCACTATTTCACTAGCCTACTGTATTCACGCCTTGATGGTCAAAACTAATTGTATATATAAGCACTATTGTTTAATAGAGTCAGTGTCTGCTGGATGATCAATGTATGAGCAATAAGACCAAAGGTCCATTCTTACCTCTAAGATCAAATATTTTGATGTACTTCAAGTTCATTGAAGCCAATAAGGTCCTGTTCGAGCAGTTAGACCAGGTTACATTATGTGCTGTCTCAGATAGTCCCATTTCTGCTAGTGGTCGCATCGGATCTACACTTCCTTGAGAAGTACTTTCTGAAAATTTTATTGTGCTCAGAGGCATCATTTTTTCACGAAGACTTTACTTTACACTTAAATATACTACAAATATATTTTTAATAACAAGACAGTTCTAATCATAATAACATCACTTAAAAATAAATCGATTTCAAACCTAAAGCCTCATCAGCAGCTGCCGAACCTCGGTTTACATCCCATACAAGTATGCAGTGGTCACTACGATGTTTCTCCATCGCGACTGCCAACATGTTTGTCTCCATGTGACTCCATGACACAGAGTTGCAAAGCCTTTGGTATCTTGGTGCTGCAAGAATAATTTAGTTGTTTATGTGCAGGATGAAAGTGAATACATGCAAAACAGAATTATATGTCTCACAGAACAAAAATAGTGATAAAAACAAATAGAACTTATAGTATAGTCCAGGGCTTCCCAAGCTTATTTTGTCTGCTGCCCACTTTGAGAATAAATTATTTTTTAGGGCCCCCATTTTTTCGCTTACTTAAAAAGCACTATAGCGAAAGCTCAGTCGGTGTCTAAGAGTCCTCCTAGATAAAATTATAAATCGGCTCTCAAGCCTCTACACAACGCCCCCTTTTTGTTCTAAGTCTCTTACCATCCCTTGTTAGGTCTACAGATACCCACAAGGGGGCTTTATCACCCACTTTGGGAAAGATTGTTATATAATTGAGAAATGCAAATTCTTAATCAATTATCTATAAACCATGTAGGAGTAGTAAAATACTGTTATAATCAGTAATATTTGATTTTTTTTATTCTTAATTAAATAATGTAATAAGACAATAGAAATAATACTGGACTGCTCTCATTGAGGTACCAGACAGATCTCAGGAGTACTATAAACGCTTGACCTACAACTGCACACAGTGAGAGGAAGTATTAAAAATCTGTATAATAGGAGGGCCATTTGATTGCAAAATTCAGTCACCACTGAACTTTTATGATATACCTAGGTATCTATCTAGATCAGTGATTATCAAACTTATTTCTTTTACCGCCCCCTTTGAAAATCAATTATTTTTCAGCGCCCCCCATTTTTTATACACCCCTAAAACTTTAAAACCACAATTTCATTAATTTAATTAATAAACGTTGTATTAATTTTAGTAAATGTAGTACCACGTAGTACATATGTATTTGTAGATGCTATTATTGTTTCTTCATATTATTATATGTCCGTACATTGCTACAGAGCGTGTATTTACAAATTCGCAAAGTAAAAATGAATTCTTCTCATCAATATTTTTGTGTAAATTCAGAATTACCAAAATAAATTGCTAGTTCACTGTACTACTACTATGCTAATTTATTAAAACGAAACTATTTTTGTTGAATATCTTTCTCATTAATATAAGATTCTCATCATAAGATAATTAAAAATTTATATTTCGACTAGTAAATAATACTACTAACAATAATAACTTATTAAACTACGAATAAGCTAAACCTGGAAGTCGTAGAGGATTTCATTTATCTGGGCTCCGTCATAACTAGTAATGGATCCTCCGAAAAGGACCTCAGAAGGCGAATTAGTATGGCAAAGAGAGCTATGTCCCAAATGGACCGTGTTTGGGCGGACAGAAACATCTCGAGGAATACCAAAAAGCAGCTCGTCACCTCCCTCGTCTTTCCATTTTTCTCTACGGTGCAGAGACTTGGACACTCAAGAAAGCCGACCGCCAACGCATCGACGCGTTTCAGATGTGGTGCTGGAGGAAAATGCTCGGGATTCGTTGGACAGAACACAGAACCAACGAATCCATTCTTACCGAGCTCAAGATTCCAATGCGCCTCAGGACTACATGAGCGCGGAGGAGTTTCGAGGTCTTTGGACATATCGCCAGAAAGAGAGGTGACAATCTGAAAAAGCTGCTGGTAACAGGCAAGTTATGCGGGAGAAGGCACAGAGGCAGAAATCCAATGCGCTGGCCGGACCAAATACGCTCCACTCTCAATACCTCAGTCCACGTTGCTATCCACACAGCCGAGGATAGGCAGGAATGGCGCAAGATGATGCAGGAGAAAGTTATTAGAGGAGGGCACGACCCTCAGCACTGAGGATTATCGACGAAAGAAGGAAGGAAACTACGAAAAATAAATTTATATCATTTCGTATTATAGATAAATATGGGTAATTTTTAATAGAATTTTAGTTTATAACTAGCTGACCCGGCAAACGTTGTGTTGCCTTAAATAAGATTTCTAGGGAAATTCTACTGTAGAGAAAAAAACCTCATTTAACCACATAATACCTCATTATAAACAAAAAAAAATATCCAAAAAATTCAAATAAAAAATAATGTTTGGGGTGGACAACCCTTTTCACTTAGGGGTATGAAAAATAGATAGTAGCCGATTCTCAGACCTACTGAACATACTATTGATACACAAATAAAACCAAAAAAACATGACTGAAAAATTTATAGTATTGTACTTATAGCTCTCAAATATAATAAGTGTATAATCTATGATGTGTAGTGAGTGAGTAAGACAGGAGACCGGCTTCGTCCTCATCCCTACTACGTGATGTTTGCTGGATGAGTGGTGACACCTGGCGTGGATAGCTGATCGATTGATAGTTGATCGGCGAGGGCGGGAGATCAAATGCAATTTAAAAAAAATCATAATTAAAGGAACTTGAAATTATAAACTCTGAATAAGAATTTATCGTACTACAATTATAATATTTGATTGCCATCTTGCAACCTTATTGCGGATCTGTGCATAGAATAAAAAAAAAAATAATCGGGATGGAAAAATAGGGGTTGATCGTATAAGAGTGAAAATTGAGAGTAATATGATTTTTTTATTTTAAATCATGACAAAACAAAATAAAAAACATGCCAAAAAAATTAAAGTTTATAATTAACAAATAAAAAATAGGGGTTGATCATAGAGGGATGAAAATTTGAGAGTAACATCAGATTTTTTATTTTAATTCATGACAAAATAAAAATAAAAATGAAAATCTTGCCAAAAAAAATTGATTTTATAATTAACAAATAAAAAATAGGGGTTGATCGTAGAGGGGTGAAAATTTCAGAGTAATATGAATTTTTTTNTAAAGTTTATAATTAACAAATAAAAAATAGGGGTTGATCATAGAGGGATGAAAATTTGAGAGTAACATCAGATTTTTTATTTTAATTCATGACAAAATAAAAATAAAAATGAAAATCTTGCCAAAAAAAATTGATTTTATAATTAACAAATAAAAAATAGGGGTTGATCGTAGAGGGGTGAAAATTTCAGAGTAATATGAATTTTTTTTATTCTACGTCATGACAAAATAAAAACAAAATTCTCGCAAAAAAATTTTAAATTTTTAATTAGCAAATAAAAAATAAGGGTTGATCGTAGAAGGGTGAAAATTTCAGAGTAATATGAATTTTTTTATTCTACGTCGTGACAAAATAAAAACAAAATTCTCGCAAAAAAATTTAAAGTTATTAATTAGCAAATAAAAAATAAGGGTTGATCGTAGAAGGGTGAAAATTTAGGGTTGTATGTATTTTTGTATGCTGTATCATAAAAAAATAGAAATAAAAAATTTTGTCTAAAAATTAAAAAAAAAAATTTAGGGGTGGACTACCCCTAACATTTAGGGGGATGAAAAATAGATGTTGGCCGATTCTCATAGATACCGGATAAGCACAAAAAATTTCATCAAAATCGGTCAAGCCGTTTCGGAGGAGTATGGCAACGAAAACTGTGACACGAGAATTTTATATATTAGATTTAGAACTGGTTCAAATAAAAACCGCCGCCTAAGTCAGCGTTTTTATTATTTGTAATAATTAATATCTATACTAATATTATAAAGAGGACAGATTTGTTTGTTTGTATTCAATAGGCTCCGAAACTACTAAACCGATTTGAAAAATTCTTTCACTGTTTGGAAGCTTCACTATTCCCGAGTGACATAGGCTATAATCAAATAGGTATCCTTACTAAAACTCCAATAATTTAACCCAAGCTGTAAAAAAATTTACCTACAATATTCTTTACGTCGCGTGCCCTACGAAAACTATTGATGATAGAATAAAATAATGTACTACGACTCTGTAAAAAACATTATCATTTACAAAAAGTGTCGCGACAGCATATGTCTAACTATTATAGTTATACCGCAATAAGTGTTCCTTAATTTAAAAAAAATGCCCCTGGTAAGACACGGAGTGCCCCCTACCTTCGCTGACTGGTGGCTTCCTACTTGGAGAACAGATCGGTCACGTGTACTGGACACGGTGGGATCGTGCACAGGTTCCCGGTCGTGCGCGGTGTTCCACAGGGGTCGGTGCTCGGCCCCCTTTTGTGGAATATCGGGTATGACTGGGTACTGAGAGGTGCCCTCCTCCCGGGCCTAAGCGTAATCTGTTACGCAGACGACACGCTGGTCGCGTTTCAGTCCCAGTGTGGTCAGAGCGCGGAGGGCCCAATCTCGTCGGTCCGTGCTGGAGTCATGGTCCAGGTGGCTGGCCGATGCTTCGGCTGGTCGCAGGACCGTCGAGGCGATTCACCCGGTTCTTGTGAATTGGGTGAATCGTGACAGAGGTCGCCTCACTTTCCGGCTCACGCAGGTAATCACTGGGCATGGACACCGGATCGGAGCCGAGTCGTCGTCAGAATGCCACCATTATGGTTGCGACTTGGACACGGCAGAGCATACGCTCGTCGCCTGCCCCGCATGGGAGGGGTAGCGGCGTCTCCTCGTCGCAAAAATAGGAAACGACTTGTCGTTGCCGAGTGTTCTGGCATCGATGCTCGGTGACGACGAGTCGTGGAAGGCGATGCTCGACTTCTGCGAGTGCACCATCTCGCAAAAGGAGGCGGCGGGGCGCGTGAGAGATGCACAGGCCCGCCACCGTCGAGCGGGGTCTAGGGAGGCGGATCTCGCCCAAGCCTTGTCCCTGTAAGTGTTTCGGGTCTCCCTCACGTGTCGGCCTGGGGACCGGCGAAGGGGGCCTAAGAAGACTACGTGCAAGCTGCTCTGCACACGTTTTACGCATGAGCATCCGGGTGTTGGAAGGCCGGCTATCCTCAACCCACGCTGGTTCTGACCCAGCGGGGTATTCCGTAGGATAGCCCATTCTAACCGGTGCCATTTAGGCGGGCTTCGGACAGCCTGCCGACCGAGAGGGCTGGTGGTCGTGGCGCCAACGACCGCCAGTCCGGCGTCCCGAGGGGGAGAGTGATGGGAGCTGCGGCGGTAAAGCTATTGCATAGCATTTTTTATCAACTTATGACATTATAATTAGACAATGATAATTTAATATTAAAACAATAATAAAACAAGACCACGCTATATTAAACCTTAATAAAGGCAAAACCATAACTGTCCCCTTCACACTCATAAGCTAAACCGCGCGCGAGAGAGATGGGCAGACTTCTCATGATGCGCATGCAGTGTGACGTCACGCTACGCGCTTATTCACAAACACTACACAAGCGCAACGTGTGAATGTGTTGAACGCGAGCTACATGGTAGGCGAGGTGAGGGATGTTAGGTTTTTTTCGTTACGGAATTTCATAATTCGGTTGCCGCGCTCAAGGCCCGCGATAAAAGCTATGCAGTAGCTTAAAAATGTATGAACTTGTAATAAAATCTCTTTGGCTTTACTATTTGTATCTGGCTGGTTTTGGTATCATTAAAAGTTTAAATTTGAAAGAAGATAATTCCAAATTAAAATTAGGAAGATGTGTGATTTTTATTTATTTTTCGTACTGTCAAGATAAGTGAATCTAATGAAGATATTCGATACATTTTAAAATTTTACTACAAAAAAGGTAAAAAAGCAACGCAAGCCGTGAAAAGGTAAGAAAGCGATGTTTATGGACCTAGTTCAGTGTCTGTGAGAGTAGCACAAATTTGGTTTAAGCGTTTTCAATCCGGAAATTTTGATGTCAAAAATGCACGTCGCCGCGTCGCTCTGGTCGCCCTATTACGGATAAAATCGATGCCATTTTTGAAAAGGTGGGGCAAGATCGGCATATCCGTAGTTACGACGTAACTGAAGAACTGGGAATTGACCACAAAATAGTTATGGCGCATTTGAAAAAAACTTAGTACACAAAAAAGCTCACTGAAAGAAACCTAATGAACCGTGTACTCATTTGTGATCCTTTATTACGACGTAATGAAACCGAACCATTTTTGAAGAAGCTGGTAACTGGTGATGAAAAGTGGATCACGTACGACAAGACCGTACGAGAAAGGTTGTGGTCAAAGGCCAGACAGGCTTCACAGACTCTAGCGAAGCCCGTGTTAACTCGCAACAAGGTGATGCTGTGTGTGTGGTGGGATTGGAAGGGCATTATACATTATGAGCTGTTATCACCAGGCAGGACCATCGATTCTGAACTCTACTGCGAACAACTGATGAGATTAAAGCAAGAAGTTGAGAGAAAGCGGCCGGAATTAATCAACAGAAGGGGTATGGTTTTTCATCACGATAACTCTAGACCTCACACATCTTTAGCCACTCAGCAAAAATGAAGAGAGCTTGGCTGGGAGGTGTTAATGCATCCACCGTATAGTCCTGACCTTGCACCTTCAGATTTCTACCTGTTTCGGTCTCAGAATTCTTTAGGCAGTGTCAGGTTAACATCACGAGAGGACTGCCAAAACCAATTGTCGCGGTATTTTGATCAGAAGCCCCAAAATTTCTATAGCAATGGGATCATGTCCCTACCTACAAGATGGCAAAACGTTATCGAACAAAATGGTACCGACATACTTTAGTTAAATGTGACTAAACTATATTAAAAAATGTTGTGAATTTTCTTACAAAATGCGAAGAAACTTTTTCCCCAACCTATTATTATATAGAAATAAAATAGTAAACAATGTTTACAATAAGTGAGCTGTTTAGGCTTACTATACTATTTGACATTAGACGGTAATGGATAAATTGTAAAAAATAATGTTCCGCAGAAACTTGTTACAACTTGATTGCGTACGGTGTGTGGGCTATCCTACGAAATCTATGTTAATTATTATTTTAAGTTTTTTGGAACATCATACAGGGTAGGAATATAAACTAATTATTCATTATTGTGTAGTAGGTGAGTTTTAATTTTAGTGAAATTTAAAATACTATAAAGTAAATGAAATTACAAATTTTACAGCGCCCCCCTAACCCACATCAACGCCCCCCATTTTTTCCTGGGCCCCTTAACGCCCCCCTCTAGGTTTCAAACGCCCCCAAGGGGGCGTTATCGCCCACTTTGAGAAAGACTGATCTAGATCCATCAAGATGGTTTTGTTGTTTTTAGGCAGCTAAATTTATATTAGTAGCTTAATTAGTAAAATGTGAATATTTAAAATACATTCAGGTAGTGCCATTGATATGATGAGATGTGATGAGACGAAATGAAAATGAGGTTGGTAAGAGAATGTTAACTATGAATGTGGAAGGATATAGAGGAAGAGGTAGACCTAATAATAAATGGATGAATTGCGTGAAAGACAATATGGGTAAGAGGGGAGTGAGTGAAGAAAATGATAGAAGAGTATGGAAGGAGAAAACATGTTGCGCCGACCCCAGGTGACTGGGAGAAGGGCAGGATAATGATGAATCTACTAAAATTCACTAAGCTTTCAAACTTACCAAACTCTCTTCCAACTAGTCCCAAAGGGTCATATGTTTGTTTAAGGGTGGTAAGTGAGACCCGTCCACTAGCATATCCAAGAGCGAGCAATGGCTCAGGCTGCTCTGGTTCAGCACTGATATCAACGCACCGCACTCCACTAGCACTCTGGGACGCAACAACTGTGGCTCCATAGGTTGAGGAAATTGGAGTGACTGTAGAAAAAACATTATAAAATAGACACGAAGGACATCAACTTATCCATATTGTCAAATAAATGTTGGGTTAAAAATGAAAATAGTTGTAGGATGACTTTAAATCCCCATCTACCCACTGCAGACTATTGGTAATCTTGTGTAATACTTGCTTCAAATCTTTCATCTGTGGTAGGGCAGTGTAGTGGATGGTAAGCGTTGTGGAAATTAAATATTCAGAATTTCCAAAGAATGTTCTATTACTGTTGTACTTTATTTTCTTGATACATTGTGGAAATAAATTTCCTTTTTTAAATGAAACAAATACACTTCAATTAATTTGTCAAAAACTGACTGGGGACTTTTGGTACTTATCAAGAAAAGCGTCTAGTGTTTTTTATTAAAAGTGATTTCTTCAAAAAAATATTTTTTTAAGATATTTAAAAAACTAAACTACATTATTATTATTATTATAGATATGTAGTGTCCTATATTTAAAATAATAAAATTGTTGCTATATTTAAAATACATACAAGTCGTTTTCTTCTCGATTTCTTTTATCCTTGCCACTTCGTACAAGGTTATGTCTGGGCCCCAAACAATGAATTTGTCATGATGTGCCGGTGACCATAATATATCCAATCTGCTAGACATTTTTACACATTTACTATTGCGTTTAAAATTAAAAATTTAACTCATTTGATACAGTTCCATACGTAAGCATGATAATAAATATCATAAACACTTGCTATCAGGGGGTAGTTGTTTTGATAAGAGTTGTTTTGCTTCTTTTATTTTTAAAGATTTTATGCCATGGTAACGTGACGTTTAAGCCAAGTTTTTTGTTTTCTTCTATCTGTTATATTGGAAAATGACATGAAGCGAAATGAGCTGAAGTTGATTAGTTTGAGACTGTAACCGGGGTAAAGTGTGGGAAAATGACATAGCATCGCTAAGCGTGGCTTCTTGGGTTATTGGAAAACAATGGACTTAATAATTTCCAAATTTGGACAGAGAGATTACTTCAATGGTTATTCTCTGTGAAGGATACGTCAGAAAAGCAGAGTAAACGTGGTAGAAGTGAAACCTTCCAAAATTAAAATACAATTATCCTAAACGTCTTAAGTATGTGTAATATTTTGTCATTAGTAAATAATTGTAAGGTAGCGCCCTCTGTGAATTGATATTTTAATTTCACGTATAATCCTAAATTAAAATTCACTACAGGAGCATTCATACACACGTTAGTATTAAAAAATCTCACAGATGGCGCTGTATTAAATAGTATATTGTATATTTCTGTCTCATTCTTTGCTAGCTTCATCCTACACATTTTTGTATTTGTGTCTCTTACCTGTCGTTTTTTCCGTTGCATCCGGTTTGAAATTACAACGATTCTAAAGAAGTTTTCACTTAAAAAAAAAAATACAAAAGTTTTATGACCCACTTAACTTATTAGTTGAAAGCGCCAGGACGCGATTGATGCGTGATAGGTTAAATTGGTAAAGTTCAATCATTGTGTGTATTGTAAGTAGGTAATTGCTAATTACTCAATACTAAATTGAAAATTCAGTTTACATTTAATCTGTTCATGGTTGTTTTATATGAACGACCTGTTATTTTTGTTGTGCCTTATGCACGCACAGGTGTTTGAAACCCCATCCCCCTCTTCCGACGTCGCGTACGACGTAATATTATAGCGAGACCAAAGAGAACAGTGTAATTTCTATATGTAGTCTGTGCACTGTGGTTGAACCACGGATAAGTTGGGTAAATGAAATGACGTTTTGCTTTAAAAGTGAGTGAAGTGAATTATTCACTAAATATTTGAAATAAATAAAGTGAAGCAATAAAATTAACGAATTTAGATTGCACCAGTTTGTTGTATTTATGTAAGTACTGCAGTTGATGTAAACAGCTTTAAATAAGAACATTACACGTATTTCACCTGTTTCTGACATTACTACTGTTTGTGAATTATGATTGTGGCAACGCCTCGTATTCCCATAGTTTTATTCGCATTGTCTTGCATTTCTCACGTGGTATTACTGTTTTCGGTTCGATAACTCCGTGGATGCTATTAGCGAGTTTGCAGTTACTCATAGAACAGCTAGATCGATAGCTGTAAGGTTCAGCTCTATGAAGAAATTCCATTTGTGAGTCACTTCATAGATAAAATTCTACTCATTCGGTTTTTAAAAGCGTTTATATGTGAAATTAAATACTACTTTGAAGTATTTATAATAAAAAACCGTGGATGTTCTAAGTCAAATTAAAAGTGAATGTGGATTATGAGTATGATTCTGTGTTCTCACTCATCTCCTGCTTTAGGGAGATGGTGCTAAGCGTCCAGTGATGTTCTCAGCTATAGCCTATCAATTATCTACAAAGTTTGCTGAGGAAGGGAAGGTTTGTTATACTGCTTTTGTAAATGCAGCACTGTAAATAATGCCACTCCATGTGTCATTAGTGATTAGTGAGTGGTGAAGAGAGCTTATTTTATGGATGATCTGCTTATTAGATTTGTACAAAGTACTGACAATAAAAACAAAAAATAAATGTGTTTACCAATTGTTATTAGTAAAAAAACTGAGTCATATTTTGAATGAGATCATCACCTGAAATTTATGACAAAACAATGTTAATACAAATTAGTAAATTCAATTAGCCTAATTATGAATTGTGACTGTTTGTACAAGATGTTACCTTAATTTATATATTTTTTTTTTTATACATTTACCTATCAATGTATCAGAAATCTTTCAAAATAATTTTCAATTCATTTTAATTTATTTGAAAATATACACATATACTAAGGACAATACAATTATTTCAATATACTGACCCAAACCGTATTGGATAAAAAAAACAGGATAAAAAAAAGATTACATTAATTTTAGTGCAACTGGCTGTTGCAATTAGCCTTTATTTTGACATATATTGATTTTGTATTGTGGTGGATGCAGGTGCAATCAGTATTCTATTCACATGCACCACCAACTACAAGCAAATCATCCACATTGTAGTGTGTGCAGCTAAACAAGTCAATTATAAGCTTAGTTTATTGTTTTCATTGTCATTGCTGGATATCATAGTTAATTTGTAAAGTATAGAAGTCATATGAAGTGTTATGGTCTTGAGATATTCTTCAATTATATTATAACAGTTTTGTTTTCTATTGTACAATGTTAAGCAGATATACAAGATGCATGTTTAGTTACTCTTTACTAAGATATCTTGAAAAAGAATTACCAAATGAGTCATGGTTTGTGCCAAACTATTGTAAAATATTAGCTGTAAACCATAATAATATGCAAATAAAATACATATCTGGTTTTGAATGCAGTATGTATTACTATTATTTTCTATCTATTCGCTGGTAGTTTAAGCCTTCCAGCTATGCAGCAGCTCATATGAAACCAGTTTTCTGATATATAATTCAACACTAGGCTTATGGACAGTTTGAGGCATGAACGTACATACATAAAAACCATCATAAGTTGTGGTATTTTCTGTTCTTCCATACTATAAGTAGAAAATTAAACTGTGAGATACATATTTATAAAAAGTATTTTTTTCTCCTACCTACGCCGAAATTTCGGTTTTCCTCCCGCTGTACAGGGAAGAAAGTGTAACTTTTCCTCCCTGGGTACTTACAAGTGCGCATACGCCTTAGTGTCTACGTCTGCTCTCACATTTATTACTGCTAAATTTACCTGTTCCCTAGTGTGCATCCAAATGTAGGGACGATTTTGTAATACTTGTCTCAGACAGACTTAGAATTGGATAATTGTTGCACATTGTTTTATTTGAAGACGTAAATGCGGTTGATTTTCTTTTTTACCATTTGAGAATGCTTACAAACATTCAATAGAATTTAAAATCTCGATCTCCAGTGGCATGTGTTGTTATGACTAGATTAGTGGAGTGCTCTGAGAAATTATTGGACACAGTAAAAAGCCACAGGGCGACCTAAGGGGGTTGAGAATGCGCCGCACGCTACCGTCACTCTAGCGCGCTGGCACCAGGAGGACGGGACGACGCGTCGGCGGCTGCGGACTACGATGCGGTCCGCATTTTCGTCGTCGCGGTCGTCGCCGAACATACTGTGGAAGAGCAACCCGGTCGGCGGTATATCGCGTTTCGACCCGGCAGGCTGGTTCTGGCCCAGCGGGGTATCCCGGAACACCAGCGGCATCGCCCGGGCGGCCTGGTAGGGCCGCCGCACCGCGGAGACCGACGTCGGTGGTCGTCGACTATCGCCTCGACGACCCGTCGGTCGGGCGTCCTCGGGGTGGCGTCGTGTGTCTGGTTATAGTGTTGACCGCGGGAACCCCCCTACTCTGACCGGATTTTGACCCCGGACAGAGATCGAACGTCGGGTGTAAGAGTGCAGGGGAGTCGTTTAATGGGTGGGCCCTAAAATTCCTTGGGCCCGCGGTCTCCTCCCAATACCTTACAGATCGTTGAGTCTCACAGGTTTTGTTTCTCTAGGTTTTTTTTTTTTTTTATTACATACTTGTCCTCTAACGTAGTCAGAGCCCTTACTTTTCCTTTGTATATATTTTTGCTTTATTTATTGTTTTATTTATGAAATGTTTCCAAATAATCAAATTAATGTGAATATATATTTATCAAATGTTATAAAAGTGTCTCTATTTCCAAAAAAATTTTTTACTATCCTTAGGGGGGTTCTGGGGTGTTACAATTATATAACACCCCACGGTCTTTTTATGGACTTTTTAGAGAAAAAGAGCAACAATCCGGAGCTAAAACCAGAAAAAGTCTACTAACAATTGCTGGCACCATCATCTCTAAATTTAATACACAAATATAGCGGCTAGTGTGTAAAATATTAATAACTTCCGAGTTCACTCCCTTCTAAACAAAGATAGATAAATGCTGAGCCGCGGTTAATAGCTTACTTGTCTACACCATGGACGCCATATTGTGATGTAGGCGATTGTCATCAGAATTATCGCCTTGAATTAATTCTACACGTTTTTTGGCACTAAGTGGAGTGTTATTAGTAATCTTCACAGTCGACGGTAAAAATACAGGAACAAAAGCAAATAAAAATAATTTAACATTAAAATTTGGTTCACGGCAGATAAAAAAGTGAAAGTTTTCACTTTTATTCAGTACGTTAATTGCGTGCATTTTAAATGTGGGAACATGTTGCCGTTGACTTTGATAGCCTTGGAACTTTCCTGATGCGATTAATAACATTTATAATCGCGAAAAAAAAAAATGTCTGTCAATTCCACATACATTACATCGAAGCCAAATTCGTTTTGAGCTGGTAAGTAATAATTGGTTTTTTCTTCTGTAATTGTTCTATGAACTAGGCTTAGAAAGGGCGTTGGAGGTTGGCTTGGCTGAGCGACGATAGCCGTTCATATTTCATAGTCCATAAATATATCTTCTGAACCTTAAGGCGAATTTACATTACGAAATTAGTGGCATGAAACTAATTTCGTGACATTAGTTTTACCAACAGTTTCACGTGTAATTTAATACTTTCGTAATGCATGCATTAATTTCACGCATGCAAATTAGTTTCGTGCCCTGCGCGATTTTTTGGTGAAATTAGTGTCATGCAACTAATTTCATAGTGTAGACGCGACGTTAGGTGTGAAATACAAAATATTCTTTGTTTTTTCATATCTAAAACTACAGTCGTGGTTTAATTTCGCATTTATTATTTTTATTTAATTATTTTAAACATTTCGAATACCTTACAGTGTTGGT